TTTCAGTGTGACAAACATGCAAAAAAATAAGAAATCAGGAAGGGGGCAAACACTTTTTCACACCACTGTATGTTTCTACATTTTCTTGAATTAAAAAAAGCCATTACACAAATTCAACACGCTTGAGGTAGATTTAAATCGTAACTACTGAGAGGAGATATTTGTACACAAATATCATACATATGTGGCTAGATAAATTTGATTTCCTGTTGAATCACAGTAGAATAAGCCTGTGTAAAAAAATATTTCCAGTTTAAATTAATTTAGTAAATTTACTGATTTTAGCGGCAAGTCGGTACTCATGAATGGTCTCAGATTTTCTGTGAATCATTTTACCAGTTGGCAAAACGAGCAAGTTTCTGGGTTTCATTGCCACCACATCTGTATACCAAAAATGATTGCTTTGAATAAAAAAAGGACGAGTTCTATAACATGCAGTACTGTATACAGGTGTTCATTTACTGGATCAAACTGAGGGGTGTGACTTTTAAATGTTGATTTTCCTCTAAGAATTCTCAGTAGGTTATCGTCCTTTTTTCTAACAAATCCCTCATTTAACAGAATTCCTAGATTTCTCTTATCGACTGAAATAATGCCCCTAGAGGTTCTCCTGAACTTTGTCACTAGGCTGGCCAGGTAAGGGGCATGATTTGTGCTTTCTCTATTATACTGCACACACCTAACATACACAACCATAGAGGCAGAAATGTGCACTCACACGAGAGGTTTGATATTTGTTCGTTTTCTGCTGTATTGTGTTTAAGAGTTGTTAACTGATGTTACTTTTTTTCCTGTAGATTTTAAAGCTGGAACATTGTGTTGGAAAATGCAGACACAAAGTTAGACACAATGTGACTGAAAGTGTTACTGTATTTATTTTATAGTTATTGATTATTAGTTATGCTAGCTTAAGTTTAGATTTAATCTATGCAATATGGAGATGGTTTTGTGGTTTTTCATTTGAGATAGGAATTCCTTTTGTTGTTGGTGGGATGTTGTGGTGTCCTCTTTCAGTAATATTACAATATACAGTACAAAAACACAATTTTTGATTATGAGATTTAAAAAGTTTAAAATAAACTCTTTCCTGTTAGAAACAAGTTTGTTTTAATGTTTTTTTTTCCTTGGGGGTAGGAGGCTGTTACCCATGTAATTCATCATCCTTTAACCTGGAGTTTAAAAAATGTGGTGCAAAATGTAATGCTTTTGTTCTTTGTTTTTTACATTAATACATTTTATGAAATTAAATGTAATATTAAATTAATACAATTAATTTTTTTTCAAACTTTACATTGTAAAATTCAATTTGGAATTAATACATTAATGGTGTATTTAAGACTGCTCTTTTGCAAAGGAAGCAAACAAATGCATTGATTTTAATTCATTCTATTTATGCTATTGACAGTTTCAGCTTAAAATAGTAGTAGTTTTATGATTAGTTATGCTGCTGAAAAAAACACTTTTTATGTTTTTCCAGATTTGAGTTGGTAAGTTTGATGACCTTTGTTTTTATGGGCAGTTACATGGAAGTGAAGATTACTTTTTGATATCTTGAATGCACGGTACTTAAAACATATACTTTCGATGTTTTAAAACATTGCTTCACAGACATGAATGTATCAAATCTTACATTGGGAGCATTTTCTAAGGATAGCATTTGGAATATTTGATATGTATACTCATCAGTCTTGGAGTTTTTCCATTTGTTCTTTAATGTTTTAGTTTCAGCTTCTTTCTGCCAATTACTGGTTCGGCCCTGGTGTTGGAGATCAAGGCCAGCACTTGAGTGCTACCTGTGTGGAGTTCGTATGTCCTCCCTAGGCTCACATGGGTTTCCTCCAGTTGCTCCAATTTCCTCCCACAGTCCAAAAAGAACCTTTCAGGTTAACTGGTTTCTGGGAAAATTAACTCTGGTGTGTGTATGCCTGTGTCCTGCAATGGACTGGCACCCATCCAGGTTGTATCCTGCTTTGTGCCTGTTGCTTTCTGGGATGGGCTCCTTCTGCCTTGCAACCCTGAATTGCATGAAGCAGTTAGAAAATGAATGGAAGGGTAAATTGTAGCATTTTCAGTCATGGTCCCATTTTTCTACTTAATATTCATAGCATTTTAGGAACTCAAAATAATGTAATGATAAAAGGGTAAAAAAAAAAAAACTACTGTTACGTGCACCCTTTAAATCTGTACCAAATTTGATTCTAGGTTGCTGTTTATAAAAGTCTGCCAGATGAATGTACATGTAAGAATTATTGGTTAAATGAAGAGATTAATAATTAGAACTATTGATAGGAGTCATGAACAGCGCAGAACCCCCCCAGGAAATGGGGCAACAGTGAAGGTGTTACAGACCCAAGAGCGAAGGCCAGGAGAGAGGCCGGCTCGCTAAACCTTGGGCTAAAATGGGGGGCTGGCACAGCCAGACCGAGGCCGAAATGTGCACTTAAGTCCCTTAATCAGAAACTGGGAGCAGGGGCTGCTGAGGTGTTGCTCCCTTCTGCCCTGGAACAGATTCCTGTGGCCAGGCTCCCGGGAAAAGGTGGCAGCGAGGAAGGGGCAGGCAGGTGGACAGGAAGGCTGGAGAGTATTTCTACAAGGTTAGTGCAGGGAAAGCTGATGAGGAAAGGGATGAGGGATGGCCACAGGGCCTTCAAGGGTGGTTTGCTCCATAGACCAGGCCGGGCGAGCACTGCGGGCGAGGAATCCTGTCACGTAGTCCTCCAGGGGAAACACCAGGAAGAGAATGGAAGCAGTTATTACTGGCACTAAAATAATCTTGCAATATTTGAAAAAGACATCATAACTCATCTTCATTAATTTTTAAAACTGGGTTCTTGAAGTACTTTATTAGCAATAATTACTGTCAATTAAACTCAGTGCATTTTATAACTCAACAGATAAAATTCCATATATTCTTACAGTACAAATGTATTTGATTGGAATGACCTAAAAAGAAGGGGGAAAAGCATTGTAAATATAGATCAATCCTGTGTTATTGTTGCAAGTACATGAGGAATTTGATTGAGAGAAAGAACATAAGCCTATAAACAAATCAATCATTTGCCCTATATCGCTCTTTTGAATATAAGTATCTATTCTTGAAAAAAGCCAGGGTATTGTACATTTGATGACATGGCTACCAAATGTAGTTTGACCCACTTTCCTCAGTTTGAAAATAACTCCCATGTAGTTTTCACTTGTGCCCTCTGGTTCATGCATCGCTGTTCCATTGGGATGAGTCAGTGTCTTTGAGGATTCTGAAGACCCGATCTGAGTAACTTCATAATTTTCTCCGTTCAAAACTAAAATTATTTTATCCTCCCAGTGTAGATCTTTAAGCCTCGGAATGTATCTGGTATCTCTTATCTGGCATGATTTCAGAGGAACAATACAGCACAATACATGTTGACAAACATTGTAAAATTAACTAAAGGAGGGCTTTTTAACATAACATGGGATCTTTTAATTAGATATCCTGAAATATCCATTTGTGTTTAAGATAATCTGGCCTTATAGATATTTTGTCAATATGAACAAGTAATAGGTTTCTTCCATGCTGAAAAGAGAAGAGAGAAAACACGTTTCAGCAGTGGAGTCTTCTTCGAGTGTTCCTTGTTCTATTTTGTCAATATGTTGGAATACTGTTTCACTATGCTATCAGAATTGTCCCTCTATGCACGTACTTTGATTAAATGATGTCAGTGTCATTTTGCTTAATTGACCGTGACACACTTGAGTGACTTTGACTGCGAAATAGGTCGATCCTCATAAGGAAGAGCATTAATAGCCTATGATTTTCTATGAGTATAGTTCTGCTTTAAAGTCAGCTCTGTTGCTACATCTTGAATAGGATAATGAATTTACCTACTGAACTTCATGTTGCAAGTAAATCATCAAATACAGTACCTACATGACAATAACTATGAATCTGATGCAGTAATGTTGTTTCTTTTGACACTCAGTATAGTTTTTTGTAGAGTTCAACTCTAACAAAGGTGGTTTCCAAAAGCCAAAGAGCAAAACCACACTTGTGCATTAGTCTGTATCCACCAACATCAGCTAAACAGAGGGAGACCTTCATTCCAACATATCCAAACAGAAGAAAAAATATTTTGTAATGCAACTGCAAAAATGAGAAACCTTAAATATTATATAATCATTTTTGGCTGTCATTCTAAAATAAAATGTCAAAACTGGTTTACAATGGGTTTACATTTTATTTGGAAATGGTTTGTATAAAGCAATTATAATTTTGTCATTTAATTTTTATCGTTTACAGCACAGGTGACAAGAAAGGAAAGCATGTGACAGAGCCTCACTTTAACATATTTTTGTCATACAGTTGACACTGAAGACCTAAACTCTGAACAGTGTTACAACATGTCATTCTGTTAAAGACGAAACAGTACACTCACAGCAACAATACACAACAGAAAACTCTTCCCTAGATTATTTCTGTATTTGGCACTTAGTGACAGGCATCTGGTTGACAGTACTGGCATCTTAATGACAGTAAGCTGGTTACTTTATTTTTTTAAAATACTATTTTTGCCAATATTATGTAATGGTTTACAACATATTAAGTATTAAGTACATGCCCTTTTCTTGGCATTGTTAAATGGCTGTCAAATCCATTTTTCTTCATTGAAATTCCAATTCTGAATTGACTGTACATTTTGATGTCATTTTAATATTTTGCGACAAAGTACAAAATGTTGTTTAAAACATTCTCTATTTGATATCATTTTGCCCAAAGTACACCTGAAGAAAATTTATTTCTTGACAGTTTAAGAACTACAAGGCAACATTTACTGTATGTACTATATTATGTAAATGCACTAAGAGCCTTTTCATGAAAAATATATGTAAACAAAGATCTTGCACTCAAACTTCCCAAGAGTGTTTTGTTTTGTATTTCACAATACACAATAATAACTGATAGTTCTTTTAAAGGTTCAACTGTTCACAAGATGTCTTAGTCTATTTATTCACACAGTCCAGCACATTTTCTGTCAATTCAAATTAAGATACTGCAAAGATTAAGGAAAAATTGTGAACTATCTACCACACATTTTAAGCCTTATATTTGCTGATCTCATATGGACGCATAATATGAGATATGAGATCAGCCTTATATTTGCTGATCTCATATGGACGCATAATCTCTGGTAAACAGGCCGGACTGTGTTCAGAACTGAAAACTAGGTTGATGTTTTGATGTGGTACTAGATGGTAGAACAAGATAGGCAAAAAAACATGGCTATGGCTCGCTTAAATGATTCCAATGACGGAGCACTAAAACCACATCATTCTTGTATCAGGAAGCGATACTTTTTTACAGTATGCAGAAGTGTCGACCCTTTATCTTTCAGAAAGATGAATCATGCAGTTAATTCTATTGATGCTCTGAACCATGGTTTAGGGATATTACCGTTTAATTTGGTAGCATTCACTACCCAATTTATACATCACACCTTTCCTGTCAAATGAGTGAGACTTTGCTCCCTCTTTCCCATTGTCTTAACTGGGCTTGTACAGTAAGACATTTTTATTAACCAAAATCTAGTATTCATTATTACTAAGCCCGGGGATGTTTACTGTCTATTGCAAGTCATTTTAATATCACTGCTGCAGACTATCTTTCATACCTTCATACCTAAAATAACTCAAGAGCAAACACAATTGCCTTATAGTTCTCATTACAATAACACATACACTGTATAGATCTAGTCAGAAAGCTCTGTGCATTTGTTCATTAGTATTGAGTAACAAAGCTATAAAAAAACCTACCACCCCCTTCAGATGTAGAAATGACAACCAAGCATTTCCAGAATACACTGTGAAAATGCTTCACAGTACTGCGAGAAACTAACAAATGGAAGTGAATATTTGCCAAGTAAATCTTTAAATAAAAATGAATGTCTACTAAATAATTTGCGTATAAACTTATTATTAATCACATTTGTGATGCTTACTTTACAATTAACTGCACTTTTAAAAGAATTTGTGTGTGATGTTTGGAAGTGTGCTTTTGCTTCATGCAAAATCCCAAAACATGCAGATGATAGCATGCAGTTATAGCTAAAGCTAAACTGTTGAGATGTGCTTTCAATTTTTAATCTGGGATGAATGGTAACAACAAGAAAGGTAGGAACAATTAAGGATTATCTTGAGAGCCTGTTTGGTCAAAGACATACTGTACAAGACACTGACTCCAACTAAGCACATTTTCACAGCAGGAAAATATCCTTTGTGACATTAGCAGAGATTAGTAGACTGATAGGCACAGTAATGATACCAGCAGTATACCACCGAAGAACCAACAAGAAGCAAGACAAACTGTGTGAGGAAGACATCATAGCTTCATTACATGAGAAACATACTGACTCCAGAACACGGGGATCAGGGATTCAACAAAATACAACATGGAGCAAGAACACCATGCCAACAAAACCCTTAGCAAGAGGTACAGAAAAACAGTGAGTTTTTAACATGCGACAGCTAAATCCAGTCTCATCAACACAAAATCATTTTGTTAATAAAAAGGCAGAGAGCAAGGCCATGCCGAAATGTTTCTGTGGTTGGTACAAAACAGATCTGGGTAACTAGCTAATTTTTTAAAATACAATCTAAAAATAAGCTGTTTACAGTATGCTCATTAATGCTATAGACACTAACAGCACACCTTATTTATACAGAATGTGTAGTGGGCCCATTGTCATCAAATAAAGGTCTGTGCGGGAGGTGGAAGTTTGACTTTGGCCAGCTCTGTGCAAAACATTCTCATAAAACAGAGTTGCTGGTTGTCCATACAGTATATACTCACCAGGAAATTCTGACTGTTAAACTGTAGTTTTAATCATCTGATATTAATAAAAATGTTCTCTTGTCAACTTTTAAATTTCCTCTTGAAAGACAGAAAAAAAAATTAGATGAATGTCAGTTCAAGGTTGTTAAAACTGACTTTTTTAAAAACTGAGTTTTTAGGCCTGGAATACCAATACGTTCTTATGGTAGTGCTTATAAATTCTTAGAACTTACATTCAAATGTTATTCTCAAAGATGTCGCTGTGTTATTTTTACTGAGAATTTAATGCAAATCTCAGGAACCCGATTAATTAAATTAAACAAATTTCTCCTAGGGGACAATAAAGCTTGAATTTAAAATAATAATTATTTCATAAATAATCAATCATCATATTGATAATTGACATTCCTGGTATTGTCCCAGGACGTTAGATGACTGAATGATATGCAGAACTTTGCATAAAGTGATCATGAAGCTTAGTGAAGGAGCTCAGGAAGCATGGAGATCAGTTGTTCAATGTGCATATACAGTACGTACTGTATACATATTTTAACAATAATGTTAAACATCTACGGCAGCTTTGTGAAGAGTGTAACTATATCCAAGAAGACTACAAAACCAAAAACAGGCTAATTTATCTGTATATCTCTATATGTGGCACTACAGATGTCAAACTTGAATTTTTCCCCCAGCTCCTAAAGAAAACAACCAACCATAAAGTTAAATTATTTCATTACTTTTTACTCAGTGCCTGAAACTCAAATGAAAACCAACATCAGATCTACTAACAAACACCAATGACTACCTTGAGTTATTTTGTACATTATTGTTGCAAAAAAAAGTTTATTTTCCGCAATGTTCTTACACTGGCAGGATCTATTGCCCGCAGTTTGCTTTCCCCATGCACAGAAAGACGGAACGACAGAGACCAAGAGACCAAGGTGAGCGTGTCATACAAAGGGACTCAAAATGAACAGAAACAAGATATCCATTGACAACGCTGGAAGAAACATGCATATGCTAAAGATTCATACTTAATGCTTGCAAGTGGCTGAGGTTAAATTTCCAAGCTACAAGGACCTCTAGGAAAGCTGAGTTAAAGACTGAAGTCTTCTGTGTCCATGCCTTTGTATCCAAAAGAAGAAGCACAGCGTTTTGCTTTGGGAGGTGGTGTTTGAGGTGCTCAGTTGTCCGGAAGCTTTGCTGCAAACACGCACTGTGCTGGCCCGTACTTTACAATGAAAAATTAGTTCCCTGGCCTCAGGGGTTAAAGTTCAAAGGCTGGAAAACGAGATGTTTCTGGCATTAACACATCAGATAGATAGTGAATTGCTCCTGCCATACCTGCAAAAAACAACATCAGGGTCAGAAATGATCTACTCAGAGCACATGCAGCATGTGACTACAAATAACTATTTATATGGCATGAATTAAGATAACCTTTTTATCCCACCCTATCAAAGTCCGATGTTTTTAGCACATTCTAGACTAATCAATAGGAATTCCAGGTTGAGTAAAAAATTAAAACAGATTTAATTCTAATAATATAAGCATTTTAAGATTTTTTTCAAGTTAAATTTAAATTAGATTTGTGTCTAATGTTTAAATTTTCTGCAATACTGATCATCCAAAGAGGAATGTTACTGCACCATGATGTCTTCTAAATTTAATACATACACTCCAATGTCAGCTACATTCAAAACTGAACCACACTGTGCTTGAAAGAGAGAAGGAGAGAAATAGATGTTCCTACTAGTGCATTATTTAGATAATTCTCCTTTTCACCAGCCTGAAGAGGTTTAATTAAGGGCATTGCACCCACAGTACATGCTTCTAACATAGTTTGAATCTCTCAATACTAAATGTAAACTCTCTGGTTATGTAAAAAGTTTTGCACACAACAATTGTAATCAGATTTTATTCTTCTAAAAACTAAATTTTTCAAATTTATTTCAGAACTCCCAGCAGGACCGAGTATAGACCAGGCACTGACAGTAGCCCTGCCCCAGAACTCAGATGATAATACAATACCAAATCATAACTACTGCATTCCACAACACTCAAAAGAAACGCTTTAAAAACAAAACCTTCTAAAATATCCCAATATACCCTCAAATATAAACCTTGTATTTCAACTCTAGTTCAATAATTTTTTCACTAAAATTAGACATTACTACTGTGGGGTTAACAGTTTTGCAAGCTTCTACCTACACAGCCTGCTGTCATGTCTCATATTAAAACTTCTGTTCCACAAGGGGCAAGCCTTCTCCATAGGCGGTGAGAATTCTGTCTGAATTTCACCGCCTATTGCTACTCCTTTGCTCTTCTGAAGAGGCTTTCAGAAGTGGGCTACCCCAGTCTGGGAGTAGGGCCTTTAGTGGCTGTCAGTATGAAGGTCTCTCAGCCATTCAAAAGAAACTTACACCAGTCATACCTGAAAACTCCACAAGAGCTTACAGCAAAAGCTTGTTTCCTATGTAACTGATTCAGAAAGAATTGGGAAATTTAGAATGAGGAAGTTGTACTGCACATATGAAATCAAAAGCAGATTTTAATAATGTTTTCTGCTTTTTCACAGATGAGTCAATTCAGAATCTAAATGTTGTTTAAATGATTGCACATTTCTTTGTATAATGTTAACAGTTAAAAATTTGGTTTACTGTTTTATTCCAAATGCAACACATTTCTGTCCTTTTCATCCCCCCAATCTCTCTCCCTTTCACTGTATTCTTGTCTCCATCATCACCTCTTGTCATTCTCTCTCCTTCAGTCTTTCCCTTTCTTTCCTTCTGTCACTGTAGTGATGTCACAGTCTCCTTCATAAAAGTAACCTTTTCAGTCTCTTCCTGCAATATGTGTACTTCTTTCTACATTTGTGACGTGTCAGTGTTCTGTTAGCATAAGTTATTGCACTCTATCAACCTGGACAAAACCAAACCTCTTCCACTTCCATTTATTTTAGTAAGGGTATAACTAAAGGTAAGAATTTTAGTTACATAATTTGTCCGTTATGTTCCAACAATATCCCCAAGGTACTAATAAGTGTGTATCCTCAGATCTCTTCTCAACCTCAAGAGAATGAGCTTGTACATTCTTTTCAAAAGTTAAATACGTTTAATTTATAACAGGACAAAAAAGACAAGAAGTGGTATTTACTAGTGTTCATAAGGTATTAAATTGAGTTATAAGGAAAATACTGTAGATAGCGCATTGCCATTTTGTCTGCTTGGTACAGTACATACAGTAAGTACTGTACTGTAGATGGGGAACTGCATGTTAAATCAATCTCTTGCCCAAATACAAAGTTAAATGTAGTCTTCCTCTTCAATAATTATATAGGGCCTTTCATGACACATCTCAAATTACTGTACATTAGAATAAAACAAATAGCAAAGACATTAGAAACAAATATGTACAAAACAAAATTGTTACATTTTTGTTCATTTTTAATTGAACAAAAATGTAACAATTAAAAGCTAGTGTGTTAAATCACTTTTAAAACAATTCAAATGTACAGAGTGACTTGCAAGCCGGATAATCATTCCATGGTCTCTTAAGATGTTGCGTTCCACTTTTGGAAACTGAAAGAAAGCATGAGTATAAAGAACACAAAATCCCTTTAAAGGAGATCAGAGTCCACTAATGTAGTCAGGTGCCAGAGCATTCAAGCCCTCAATGATGAGCAGCAGTACTTTTTTCTGTAGTCAACACAGAGTCATTGGAAGGAAGCTAAAACAGATGGTGTACGGTCATACATTTTAATTTGAGTTCGAATCTGAACAGCTGTGTTTGGACCATGCGGTAGCCTGTTAAGAACAAGTTGTGATACACCAGCAAGGGCTACATTACAGCAGTCAAGCCTGGAAAAGAGATATGTACTCATTAGCTTCTGTTTTAAACAAACTGCTCTCCTGCTAATCAGGAGAGATGTTAAAGGGTACGAATGTTTCATGTGAAAAAGAAAGTACACCCTCTTTCAATGCAATGGTTTTACATATCAGGGCATAAATAACAATGGTCTGGTCCTCACCATCTTCTATAATTAGACAAATCTATACTCAGATAACAGACAACACATAACAGATTTCACTATGTCATTATTTATTCAACGAAAAGTAAGCCAAAATGCAGAAACCATGTGGGAAAAAATAAGTACACCCTTACTGCTTCCATAGGAATAAAGAAGGTAATTAGCAGCCAGGTGCTGCTAATCAAATGCACTTGATTGGTTGATCATCAGGAAATGTGACCACCTCTATAAAAGCAGAACTTTTGGCAGTTTGGTGGTCTTGGCATTCAGGTGTGTGTTACCACCATCTCCAAATGGAGAACATTCAACACAGTTGCCAATCTTCCCAGGAGTGGGCATCCCAGCAGGTCAGACCGTATAATGCTCAAAGAAATCGCAAAGAACCCAAGAGCTACATCTAGGGTTCTACAGGCCTCGGTTACCATGTTAAATATTAAAGTTCGTGACAGTACAATCAGAAAAAGACTGAGCAAGTATGGCTTCCATGGAAGGGTAGCCAGGAGAAAGCCCCATCTCTCCAAAAAGAACATGGCGGCACGGCTTAGGTGTGCAAGGTTGCATCTGAACAAACCACAAGATTTCTGGATCGATGTCCTTTGGACAGACGAGACCAAAGTGGAGATGGTTGGTCATTATGCACAACGCCATAATTGGCAAAAACCAAACACAGCGTATCACCACAAGCACCTCAAACCAACCGTCAAGCACGGTGGTGGAGGGGTGATGATTTGGACTTGTTTTGCAGTCACAGGACCTGGGCACCTTGCAGTCATCGAGTTGACCACAAACTCTTTTTTATACCAAAGTATTCTAGAGACAAATGTGAGGCCATCTATCTGACAGGTAAAGCTTGGCCGAAACTGGGTCATGCAACAGGACAATGATCCCAAAAACGCCAGCAAATCTACTACCGAATGGCTGAAAAAGAAAAGAATCAAGGAATAGTCAAATCAAAGTCCAGACCCCATTGAGATACTGTGGTGGGACCTTAAGAGAGCTGTGCATAAACGAATGTCCTCAAATATCAATTAACCGAAGCAATGTTGTGAAGAAGAGTGGGCCAAAATTTCTCCAAAACAGTGTGAGAGGCTGATGAACTCATACAGAAAACGAGCTACAAGCTACTGAATCATGGGGTGTACTTAGTTTTTCACACATGGCTTCTGCATGTTGGCTTATTTTTTGTTAAATAAATAATGATATAGTGGAATCTCTTATGTGTTGTTCGACACCTGAGGTTAGATTTACCTAATTTTAGGACCTGGTAAGGACCAGATGATTTTTTATTATGTCCTGATATATTAAACCATAGAACTGAAAGAGGGTGTGCTTTCTTTTTCACATGACTATGTTCAACGTTTCAAAGCTCATCAAAAGAAAGTCACAACATTGCAAACCTGAGCCTCAAATGCAACAATCTGATCAAAGATGAAATTAAAATGGCTCATCTATGTATTTGTACCAATTTAAAAAACTATGGTTCCAAAGTCAAGGCTAAAAATTGAACAAGACTTAAGTCAGAGGCTTTCCAGAAGAATTCAACATCCTACAAAGAAGGTATTTGTCTCATCATCAGCTAACAATTTATCCCTTTCAAGTACAGTACCACACTTTAACAAGATAGGTAAATATCCAAATATTACTTAATTATCAGAAAATAAACATTCGTGTTAGATACAGTGGGTATAGAAAGTCACCACCCCCTTTTGTTGTATGACACTCTGAAAATAAAAACAAATAAATTAGGCTTGTTCCATTTTTATTTACCCACAGTAACCCACATTAGCCAAGTGAAAATAAAATTCTAAAACATTCTGAAAATTAATATTACAACAGTAAAATATCTTATTTGAATAAGTGAACACCCCCCTTACAATTGCATTTGTAAACTTGCTCAGCTATAACCAATCACTTTACAGATTACACAACAACTAACTGGCTCCCACCTGTGATCAATTGTAGTGATTTTGATTAGTTCAGGATGAGATGTAAAACCGAGGTCCTGACTCTCTGTGGTCATTAAAAATCCCAGGGCGTTTCTCGAAAAGAGTAGGGGTGTACCCCGGCGTCCTGGCCAAATTTCCCATCGGCCTTTATCAATCATGGCTTCCTAACAATCCCCCTCTATAAATTGGCTTAATTACTCTGCTCTCCTCCCCACTGATCGCTGATGTGTGGTGAGCGTTCTGGCGCACTATGGTTGCCGTCGCATCATCCAGGTGGATGCTGCACATTGGTGGTGGTGGAGGGGAGTCCCCATTGCCTGTAAAGCGCTTTGAGTGGGGTCTCCAGAAAAGCGCTATATAAATGTAAGCAATTATTATTATTATTAAAAGCAGCTGTTTTTAGAGGATTCCACTGCTTGGAAGTGCCTTTTAAAGCAAAGAATCCACTATGGGTGGGGAGGTGCTTTCAAAAGAACTCAAGATAAAGTTGTGGAAAGGCACAAGTCAGGAGACGGATATAAAAAGATTTCAAAGGCTTTTAGTATCCCGTGGAGCACAGTCATTACAGGCCATCATTACGAAGTGGAAGGCATATGGCACCACCCAGACCTTGCCTAGATCAAGCCGTCCCTCCAAACTGGATGACCAACCAAGAAGGAGACTGATCAGAGAGGCTACCAAGAGGCCAATGGCAACTCTGAAGGACCTACAGGCCTTTATGGTAGAGACTGGTCATTGTGTGCATATGATAACAATATCACAAGAACTCTACAAATCTGGCCTCTATGGGAGGGTGGCAAGAAAAAAAAATAAACAACACTTGATGTGGCTTTTTTTATTTTGTGTTTTGCTAAAAAGCACCTTAAGGATTCTGTGGCCAAGTGGCAAAAGGTGCTATGGTCAGATGTGATCAAACTTTCTGGCCGGAATGCAAAACAGTATGTCTGGCGAAAACCCAATACATCTTACTATCCATAGAACACCATTCCTATAGTAAAGCACGGTGGTGGCAGCATCCTGTTGTGGGGGTGTTTCTCTTCAACTGGGACTGGGACACTTGTCAGGATAGAAGGGAAGTATGGATGGTGCAAAATACAGGCAACTTCTTGTAGAAAATCTGCAGCCCTCGACCAGGGGAGTTGAAAATGGGAAGATGGTTCACCTTTTAACATGACAATGAGCCAAAGCACACTGCCAAAGCAACCGTACAGTGGCTGAAGGACAGGAAGGACAATCAACGATCACCACGCAGTTGGACTGAGTTTGAACAATTCTGTAAGGAGGAATGGGCAAATATTCCTCCCTCTAGGTGTGCAAAGTTGGTAGAGATGTATCCAAACCAACTCAAGGCTGTAATTCAAGCAAAAGGTGCTTCCACCAAATATTACCTCAGGGATGTGGTCTTTTATCCAACCCAGTTATTCTACTTTATTTTTTTTTTCAGAAATTTTGCTTTCTTTTTTCACTTGGATGTTGCAAGCTACTGTACAATTTGTAAATAAAACTGGAAAAGGACCGATTTCTTCTTCTTTTTGGGCTTTAGGCCAACAGAAGGTGAGCATTTTGAAAGGGAGTGGTGACTTTCTATACCCACTGTATATGTAAAAGCATTGCTTCATCTGTAAATGTAAAAAAAAATATTAAATACTAATCTGCATTTACACATGATGGTTTTTTGTTTCTCTCCTTCCTATTGCTTTCCATCAAGTCCATCAAGCCCATTCACCCTATTTGATCCTGGTTTGCCAGTGTAGTTACTAATGTAAGCTCTACGTCTGTGCAAATGCTCAGTTATTGTAGTTTTTTTTACTTAAGAATGTCAAATATAAAAATATTGATTTTTACAAATATTTAAATTACAAGCTTAAATTACAGAGAAAGCTACATGGACAAAAATGTCACACAAACTGTAATCTTCAGATTGAGGCCAGACAGCTTTGAAATGCTGCAATAATGGTATGAGGCAATTAAATTGATTAAATAAATTGGGTCTGGGAAAATAATATGACAATTTCAGATAATTGCTTCTCACACTGCTTCCTGTATGTAAATAAAAAAGCAAGATATTACCTTCAAACAGAGAGTAAGGTCTGTCTGGGATACGGCATCCATGTGTTCCATAGTCTAAACACCACTCTGCAAACTGGAAAAAAATACAACCATACCAGTAAGGGAAACTCTTCCACTACTTTCAACAATTGCTACTCATAGCATTTCTGTTTGTTCACTTTACTAGGTGGTCCTGTTGCTTATTTTGTCGATAAAACGTGTGCAACACTCTGAAACTCCATGTGCAGGTATTCCAACTATGCTAATACTAAATACTGCAGCTAATTTGTAGTACCTTCCCAAAAGAGGAAACAGCATTAGCACTTGTGTTGAAGATTGAGATACAATATATGGACGTACGTCAGAAGTGAGTTGCTAAGATGCCATCTGGGGTTAGGAGCATAATATACCCTTGATAAAATCAAAACTTTAACCTGCAGACCAGTCAGAATTTACAAGCTTTGATTCTCAAATTCAGTGTTCTGATGAGGCAACATCAGTGTTCTGTGATGGAAAAGTTACGTTGGTAATTGAAAGTGTAATAATATACACAATAAATATATACTATATTATATATGGATATAGGTTATGATACATAAACATACAGTAGAAGTTTAAGGAGTGCACATAAATATCAGGGATTACAGAGGCCTTTATTTCTACTTTAAAGTTTCAAGTAATTATGTTAGTTTTGTTGTAGTTATGAAAAAATCAGCTAGTGGAAAAGCCCTGCACACTTTCTTTCTTCACTTTTAGTTAATAATAGTTAATATTCTCCCAAGAAGGGCAGGAAGATTATTTTAAAATAAATACTGTAAATACTGTGGCAATGTTAAAAGTTACATAGCACATTTCAGGAATGATTTGAAACTTAGAACAACTATGCAAGTTAATTAATATTACCAGATTCCCTCAATAGTCAAAGCATAGCCTCACTATTACCTTAAACCTGATTTCGGGGGACCATATCTCCCCATGTGCACAACTGCAGTACAGCCTCTCTCACACCTGTACAGGATTGTCACCCATTGACACCCAACTCCATTCAATCACTCCTGCAGGTCTTTTCAAAGAACCTGAAGATCCTGCAGATCTAACACTGCTCCTGCAACGGCCCACCTTGCAGGCTCGGTACAGGTACTTCTTCTCCTGCGTCAGCTTGTAGAGAGAGAGGAAGGAGTAGCCGTTGCCTGCAGTCCCATGGCAGATACCATAGCCCTTGCGCAGCAAGCCCCTCTGCCAGATGACCTCCCCGCACTCCACCGCATCCTTCAGGTACTTCTCCTCCTTGAAGACCTGGGATAAACATAGCACAGCACTTACTGTATTCCTCATTCAAGAAGAATCGGCAGCAGCACTACTTGAAATATGACTATTTCCAACAAAGGATTGTAAGTTTTGATTCTCCAATTTCCTTCTAAGTATTAACTGAATACTACATTGCCCTACATTGGCAAATAAGAAATAAAAAATAAGTCAAAATAAGTAAATACCTGTCTCTAAAAATAAATAAATAAGGATTCCAATACTTTCATCTGTGGCTCTATAGAGGTTTACAAAGTTACAGATGTCTGTAAAGATGCAGACAAACACTGGCACACCTAAGTTGCACAGCTGAAACATTTTTTCAATTTTTCAGTGTGGAGTCTGTTGCATCTCCTCACTTGAAACAAAATGCCTTGTATATTTATTTCACTGGAACATCCAAACTGTCAAATGTTCTCCGGCGTAGAAGACAAAAATGCTAAATAAAATAGTTACCTTCTGTAAAGAATAAATGGCTCGTGATAATGTATCAGAAAATTCCCATTCCATACAGTGCCAGGGATGGGCTACAATCTATAGACCAGGACTGTTGCAATTTCCAGGCAGTGAGAAAGAACATAAGAGTACAACCAAGAGGAGGCCATTTGGCTCATCTAACCCGTTTGGTAGTTTGTAGTTAATTGAGGATCTCATCTAGCTGTTTCTTGAAACAAGCCAGAGCTGAACAACATACTGTAGCTGGGGTTGTGGAGTGTGAGCTTGTCCCACACTCCACAACCCTTTGAATGAAGAAGCACTCGGGTAAATCTGTATGTTTTTTCTTCCCCCTGCAACCCTGTACTGGATAAGTGGATTAGTAAATGGATGAATGGTTGGATATACAGTATAATGCTACACACTCAAACCAGGACCAATTTTACAGAAACCGATTGACCTACAAGTATGTCTTTAGACTGTGTGAATATTCCACTACCTTCCCTTCTATCTTTCCTTGGTTTCCAAAACAGAGTGAATCTAAACTAATATCACATTCATCTCCATCATTTTCAACCAGCCATGTTATTAGGAATCACAGAAACATCATAACTGCCTGGTAACATGGCGACTTCTAACTCATGTAATTAATTTTGTAATACTCCCAGTATTTAGGTATAAGCAGTTAATTATGGTGCTTTGTTTTCTCTCTGTTTCTCCCTTGTTCTTTGCTCCCCATGTAACTTTTTTCTTTGGAGTTTTAATGTTTTATTTCCTTTCCACTTCAGTTGAATGTTTCTGGATTTCTTTTTGCATCCAAGGGCTATGACTATTGGTGCTCATATGATTTAGGTGTAGTCCCTTTCATCTGTACAGTTGGCAGTGGCCACTGAAAGGTTTCCAATAGCTGAGAAAGCTGAAGCCTTCTTTTGCACACCATGTCCTCATTGTGTTGAGATTAATAGTTGTAGTTGTTCAACTTTACCTGGTGCTGGTGAGATTCATGAGAAAAGCACAAATTTAGTCTGTAATTCAGTTTGTTGCCAAGTTGCCTGACCTTGTGGGAGATGGAAAGCATGCTGGTAATACAAAATGTCATTTATACCTACATGGAAACAACAACTGTGTGGTGGCCTGCCTTAGCTAGGAACCTGGTGAATCTATGGAGAATATAAGACACTTTGGCTCCTGGGCAACAGCAAAGTGTTGTCTCACAATCCCTGGAGCATTGTTTTGTTGCCATATTGCAGAGAATGAAGTCCCTAAGAACCACAACTTCTATTTTTGCTTCATTGTTAGTACAGACATTAACCTTCATTAAGCCCAGTGTTTGAGATGTCATATCTGCAAGAGAGATTTCCTGTAAGCTTCTGTTTTGAGCTCCTACAACTGGTTCCAGGTCAAGGACAGGAACAAAGATGTTTGATATTGACTTTGTTTAAATCTATAGGGTACTTCCAATATTATGTTTACAGTTCTATCATGAAAACTATGTGCTGTGAAGCAGACATATTGGCACATATATAGTGTCACCGTTTATGGAAAATATAGATTTTTATATATACCACATTCCACTGCTCTAAAGTGCAGTAGTCATTACATACAAGTTTATTTTATCAGGTAAATCAACTAAGAAGAAATGCTCATGATGACCTAATAATGATGAACTGTAAGGGTTATGAAGCAGGCAGATTTAAAGCACTGACTGGACCCGTCGGAGTGAAGAACTCTGTTGAAGGTACTACAGCAGTGTCCCACCCCCTCCACTCTGGGATCCAGAGCCCTACTCCGCACTTCTGCCTGCAGGTGAAGTTTTAATACACCAGTTTTGTTTTCAAATCACACTAAAGGAAAGCATAAGTTAAAAATGTGAAATTATTTATGAAATTTTGCTTTCTCACTCTTAGAAAATCCAAAACATATCATTTCAAAAGAAATGCTAGGACACGCAATGTCATTAACCTAATGACAAATACAAAAAAATCTAAATATTTCTATTACATTAACATGTTTAATGGGTGTAAAGATGTATTATTCTAAAAATGTTCAAGCCATACTTTAAATTTATGGTTGTTTTACTCTGAAAATAACACATTCAATCCACTAGAGGTCAGTATAATTTGGGATAATTTGCAGGATAACTGGAGACTCCATTTATCCAGCTCTTTTCATTTCGCTCACTGTTGCTGTCATGGTAACCTTCACAACAGTCTCTCTGTAACTTTAACCTCCATGCAATATATACTCTTATAAAGGCTTCTTTTATATTTTTCAATATGCTAGAGATAGCAACTACTAAAGCTCTGGTCATCTTTGAAAACATGACTTTAGAATCTATATATTGTTATATTAGTACAAGAATTACAATACCAATAAAGCACGCTTCGATAGAAACAGAAACCCCTTGTTTTACTGAAAATGTACAGTAGAAAATTATTCTTCCCTGATCTGTAAACAACCAAACCGATAAACTTAAAAGTAAATTTAAAAGTATTTTAATTAAAGTGTTGTAATTCTGTCCGGATTGAATCCTGAGGATATCTGTGAATGAAGAGTTGCTGTGTCACCCTCACCCCCTGGGTGTCCAAAAGCAGAGCGGACTGTGGGAGATGGAATTCTGGTTAACCGACTCCATCCCAGTGAAGTACGTGACTAGACTAACTGTTGAACATCTGGTTCTGGAGCAGCCATTTATATTGCTATTACAAATTTATCTGCATATGTATTTAATGACAGTATCCTAACAGGATGTGGAACATTTTTTTCTTGAATAGCAACTAGGTATTAAGCAGCTATCAAGCACCCGTGAATCTCGTAAGTGTACAATTTTTCCCCTTTTTAGATTGCTTTTTTAATATGTATAAAACTGTCCAGGGAGCCTTCTGAGTGATACACCCAGGGGGTGAGTGTGAAGGTCTTGAGACGTCAGGGTGACACAGCAACTCTTCATTCACAGATATCCACAGGATTCAAAGTGTTAAACTGGGTCACTCAGGAGGAGCCTCCTGGGTGACTATGATCATGAGTTTGCACCTGGTCATGTGACAATTTGCTCACCATTGCTGAGGGTAGGGTGGGGTTATCTAGCCAGGAACATAGTGACCTCTTGCTGGCAATTGATGCTGTCAGTGAGGGATGTGCTTCTCCTCCATCAGCACTGAACTGAACATAGCTGCCTGTTATGTATTAATAAAATGGCTCAAAGGTGGACAGGACAGAGGAGTCCACCTACACTCCTTCACTTCTCTGTGATCATTAAAACACATTTGGCTAATTCAAATCAGTGGAGTGTAACAAAACATAATTAAGATCAGATCACTTTATTGGCCATATACAATTTCTTGTATTAGGAATTTGTCTTTTCGCGTACCCCAACTGAGTCTCCATGAGACACACAGACAGGGAGAGAATACTTGGGGTCAGAGCTCAGGGTCAGCCATTTATAAGGTGCCCCTGGAGCAGTTGGGGTTAAGGATCTTGCCCACGGGCCCAACGGAGTAGGATTCCTGTGCCAGAACCGGCAACCTTCTAGCCACAGCCGCAAATCCTTAGCCATAGAACCACCACACCTCCCAATGATTAATGATTCCTCAAACCACATGTAAGGTAAGGCAGGCATTTTGCTGTATTCAGATACCCTTATATTGCCTAAAATGATACCTCCCTAATACTTAGGATGCTGCAAACCTTTCCAGATGAAATGCTGAGCCATAGAACTCTTACTGACCATGTAAGCTTGTATCAGCATGTGGATCACTCCAGGAGCCCCATGGCACCAGTGGACCAGACGGTCAGTTTCATTACTAAGGGATGATGGGTAGTTTCCAGATCTGAACTTTTTATGGCGTACGTAGTCAATGCTGGGCTTCACCAACTCTGTCAGCATTTCCTGACTGACCTTCACTCCTGGCTGAAAAGAAAAGATTGATTTTATTGTTTCTCTTTTCCAGTCGAAAAAGCAATTCTTCCTGTGCATTAACACAAATCAAATGATACATAGGACATACGGTAATGCCCTACAAGTGAAAAATAAAGGAGGACAACTACATATTGCAGGCAGAAAGATGAACAGAACATTTTCTTTCATGTGATCCCGTGCAAATGGTTATAGATATGATTTTGACATACAGTACAAGGATTCATTATCCTTGAAAGAGAAGAACTGTTTTTGGGACTCAGTTCTATATGACCTTTCATCCTAGATCCTTAAGTCTTTAAAACTATATGTAAACATCATCGCAATGCTGCTCACTACAGTCATGCAAAACACAGGAGCCTTTCAGACACAGTGTGCGTGCACAGAAAGAGCCACTGTTGAGAAATCTTTAAAAACATTTGTTTTTCTTCTTAATATTTCCCCTTTGAGACAGAAGTCAAACTGATTTGCTACCACTCTGTTCCTTTACCATTTTAATACACCTGCTCTTTGTGGGCCTCTACTTATATTTTCTTTTTTGCTCCACAAACAGCAGGGGCACTGGATCCATGCCAGATCATTTATTTTCCTCCCTGTCTTCCTGTCCTCCCCATGTGGACTCCAGTGAGCACTATGATTTTTATTTGTTGTTTCATATCCATTAGACACAACAGATGAGCAGAGGGACTCTTATGTCATTTAAAACCAGACTCAGTCTTTGCTGCCTGAGAATCATTAAGAATCCCAGAGAGGTATTATATAAAGCAGCATCAGGTTATACTAGAAAATATACATCGCAGTTCTCGATTTGAAAGACATTGTATAGCTTATTAGTTTTCCCTTACTTTTCCTTATTATTATTAATTTAAACTAAACAACATAAGCTCTCTAAACTAAACTAAACTAAACAACATAAGTAATTGGATGCATGTAAATGCAAACTGAGGGGCATTTTGGAAACTCTAAATATGAAAGCTATTTGCCTCTCAACTTCAGAGCCTGGTTGAATAGAACAGATTGGGAATCAATAATGTTACAACACCAGATGGCGCTGCACACAGCAAAACCCATGTTTGCTACAAATTGGTATTTTTTTAATCATAAAATTACTGCACAATATTTTTTTAATAGGGGCTGAAATTAAGATACTCTCTGTGCTGTGATTAGTGTCCCAGGGTGGAGTATTATATTGCAGGACACATGGAATGAACTGTCATACTTTACTGATCAGCCTAAAGGATTTCTAGCTTACTAATCTTCTCTCTACCTCTGGTGGTACTCTGCCAGTTTTGTGCCACTCATTGGACTCATTGGGGACACCTGGTCACAGTGAGCTAGTGACGTGAACCTTTGCTCTAACATGCACCGTCAGAATTACAGACATCAACCTGGTTGGCTCTATGGTACAAAACATTTGGGCATCTTACCTGCTATGACATTGAAAACCTTGCTTCTTTAAAAAAAAACAGCTGGTTGATATCATGAGATCAATTAGTTACTAGCAATCAAACAGCCTAGACAAGTCAAATGTGTTCCTCTTATTAATAACAAATATCAGTCATTTCAGTTCATTAATGACTTTTCTCTTGCTCAGACGTCTGCTTTAAATTAGTTTAATGCCTGCATATTTAAAATATTTTAAAATCAAATAGCACCTAAAGCCAGAGTTCTGTCATCCTATTTACAACCTGATTAGATTTACCCATACTTTAAATATTAAACACATCTTTTTTAATAGCTATAGACACTCTGCTAAATTCATTCCAACATGTTCTTTGTTTGAAAAGATACTCCACCTTCTATCCCAGGTGTTTCTTTTAATATGCGTCATGTGATCAGTTAACATGAGAGGGACTAATAACAAGAGACACTGAATGGTTTTCTCAAATGAAAGATGAAAAGACAGACGAATCAGCTTATTTTTTCATCATTTCAGAATTAGCAGCTGCCCTAAAGCTAACTCACTCCATTATCTCCAGGAAACAACTTGTATATGATACAGTACGGTATGTTATCCTGAAATTTCTTGTTGAAAGACAGCACCACTTTCTAAAGTTATCTTTATATAAATGTTTAACATGACAGAAGATAACAGCAGAGCTGTATCCAACATTTGTACCTGCATTAGCATGTAGTAGATGCCAGCCAGACCATGCGCAGCACCAACGTACTGCTTCCGATGCCACTGATACAGGAGGGGACAGCGATCCATTTTCTTCTCTTCTTTCGACATATTCTTCCCAGATTCAAGAAGGGTTTCAACAACCTACATAAATAAACCCAGTGTTTAATTCACCTTAAGTGCATTGCTGTACTGGGCATGAAATACAGTGCTGATTAAAATTGATTAAATTTCAATGTAATCATTAAAAATGAAGGACATCTGCTGGTGTTAGTGTTTCATACAGTTATGGGGTCAGGGGCATTATAAACTGTTACTGTCAGTGTTGCAAAGTTAGTCATAAAAAACCCTTTTGTCTTTGGTCTGTTTAAAAATTCAAGGCTTTCAGCAAGCATGACCAAGGTCAAACAAAATCTTTTCCAGGAAAGACTTTCCCTGCAAAAATTGGTTTGTAAAAAGAGCTAGCTGCATTCAATTACAGTTATTCCATCTGAAACTGGGAAATGTGCTACTCTGATTTACAAATCACCCCGAGAAGAATGAAAAAACATGGTTCTATAGATGCTGGGCCAGTGCAGTGAATGCCTGCAGGTACAACTGCTGAAAGCTGGTAATGGAATGCAGGCAGGATTAATCGCAGATGATTACACTTGAATTTAGGCTTGGAAAATTCCATTTAGTCAGGATCAGGAAATAGTGGGCCTGTCAGATCCACTGTATAATGTCCTTGCAGCTCTTATAAGCTGATGACACAGGGGTACAGCTCTCAATGTTTACACAAATGTTTCGTACGTTTAACAATTCAACTCACACAGAAATTCTTCATTTGTGTTTCAAGCAATTAATCTACAATAAACTTTATTCAAGCTGACTTTTCTTATAAAGCTCAAAGCAATCTTAGCTAATCAGTTGCCCAGTAATGTAATAACGATACCAATATAGACTAAAAATGTTTCTCTCTGCTATACTAATAAAGCAAAGGCAAACCTTAACTCATAGTGGCTGGAAAACGTATGGTACATTGAAGAAATGCGGCTAGAACAATATTGCTTGACCAAAGGGTCTATGATCCAATTCAGATGGAATCTTGCAGTCTTCAGTCTACTGGGTATCAACAACAAAGGCAGATTAGATGATTTGAAGCACGTAAGGATGTTTGTTTAAGAGACGGAGAAGTCAGTTCATTTTCTAGCCACTCCGAAGTTTGTACACGGACTTTAGTGCTGATGCGTTAGTCTCAGTGATCACTGCCTAAGGTTTAAGGCTTTCTTCAACACTTGAAGAGCATAGGGTTCAAGCTCTAACACTGGGTCAAGCACACAACATTTTACAACAGAAAAGCATATTACTGTCCCAAGGCACTAAACCATTAAAAGGTAAAAGTAAAATTTAAAAAATTATATTACTAAAACAATCTTCAAAAATGGACACAAATCACATGAAACACAAATCGCAGTAAGCAATAACTCAGATTATTAACCCTAATAAAAATGTGTTTTTACAGACACTGTAAACATGGATGACATGTTTCACAGCTAGGCAGCCAGTATTGTTTGCCAGCTCAGTCAGTAGTAATGGCCCCTACATCAGTACATTCCTACAGTAGGTTAAGGAATAGGGTCTAGATGAAGCCATTTAGCCATCTAGAAATAAAATATAAATTACTAAAATAATATTACTATATACAGTTGTATCCAAAAGGTTGGGCACCCTGGCCAAATTATGTTTTGTTGATTATCTAAGTGAAAAGAAGTTAACACAACCTCTGCAGCGAACAAACTGAAATTTGACATATTTCTGCTAATTTTAATGCACAGTTACTATTTGCTGAATTTAACATATTGAAAAAATAAAACAGTAAATGTAGCATGTGCAAAAGTTTGGTCATTATTAGTCAGTACTTAGTAATACCCCCTTTGGCAGTAATCACAGCCTCCAAATGTTTCCTGTAGCAAGCTAACAGTCTTTCTATTCTTGCGTTAGGATTTTTTTCCCCACTCTTCCTTGCAGAACACTTCTAGTTCAGAAATATTCTTCGGTTGTTTTGCATGCACTGCATGTTTGAGATCTCCCCACAGATTTCCAATAATATTCAAGTCTAGGGACTGTGAAGGCCATTCCAAAACCTTAATCTTTCGTTTCTTGAAGCAGTGCATGGTTGATTTTGAGATATGTTTTGGATCATTGCATTGTTGTAATATCGAACCTCTTTTCAGCTTTAGTTTCTTCACTGACAGTGGGACAACAGCTTCCAGGATTTGTTGATACTTAGTAGAATCCATTCTTCCCTCTACCCGCACAATATTTCCTGTGCCACTGGCTGCCACCCAACCCCAAAGCATAATAGATCCATGCTTAACAGTTGGCAAGGTGTTCTTTTCTTCAAAAGCTTCTCCTTTTTTTTTCCCCAAACAAACCTTTGGTGATTGTAGTCAAAGAGCTCAATTTGTACCTCATCAGACCACCAGCACTTGGTTCCAAAACGCCTCTGGCTAATCTAAGTGTTGTGTTGCATACTTCAGATGTTCACTTTTGTGATGAGATCGCAGGTAAGGTTTCCTTCTGATGACTCTTCCATGCAGATCATGTTTGTGCAAGCAAACAACACACCACAGTGAACCGGCACACCACTACTGCTGTGCCAGCTAAACCTTCCTGCAGGTCCTTTGATAGTGGGGTTTTACTTTGCATTCCTGACCAGTCTACGAGCAGTTCTATCGGAGATTTTTCTTACAGATCTTGTCTTGACTTTAACAGTTCCTCTTAACTTCCATTTCTTAATGATATTTTGGACAGTGGAAATTGCAAGCAGGAAGCATTTAGATATCTTTTTATAGCTTCCCCTGCTTTGTAAGAGTCAATTATCATTATTTTCTGATCCTCAGTCAGCTGCTTAGAGGAGCCCATGGTTGTCGAGTGTAACCTGAGAGGTTTGAAGGGTCAGAGAATTTATGAAGCTCTGGAATTGTCATCACCAGACTTAGATTAAGGCCTAACGAGTCAATTAAGTTCCGAGACCTTACAAAAAAATATCACTAGTGGATCAACTGCACATAGCTCATTTACGGTTTTATTTTTTTCAATCTATTCAATTTAGCAAATAAATAGTAACTGTGCATTACAATTTGCAGAAATATGTCAAGTATGTTTGTTCACTGCAGAGGTTGTGTTAACTTCTTTTCACTTATAAAATCAACAAATTACAAAAAATGTAATTTGGCCAAGGGTGCCCAAACTTTTGCATACAACTGTACCTGCCTTCAAGATAGCAGCCTGTATTCAAATTTCAGGCACAAGTCATTTGTCATCTGCTGCATATTTGATGTTGCTTGGAACAGTCAGAAAAACACCTTCTCCAAACCTTTAAACAAGCACCTACTGTATGCACAGTACAGGTGAAGCTCATTTAGGTACCTCTGTCTTTTACAGTGGACATTTCCACACAGACAACACCTTCCTGAACACAACGCTCATGCACTGAATTCAAACTCATATATTGAAACTAACTGCAAATTAACATTTATGCACCTGTTGACATATACTGTAAAAAACTGTATGAATGTGAACAAAGAGACAATTACATGCATTTTTCATATCCCATGCTTGTTTCTCTCTAAGCTTTTTGTATTTTAAAAATTCACCACTGGTAAAGTACCAGTGACAACCTTTAAACATGTATTCTAACATTACATAAAAAACAAACAGCGTTTCATTTGAGCCTTGTTCCTGGGTGACAGGACAGATAAAAGGATCTATAATGGACATGCTCTTGAGCCCCAGCCAGGTAAGTGACAACATTTGTTAGCAACTGTATACTTAGTATCTGGATCAGCCATCCATACTACCATAAATAAGAAAAAACAGAGCACATCAGGGTTGAGTAGCAGTACTTCAGTTCAGGACTATATGACCACTGACATTTCCAATCTCTTAAACAAGAAATTGCTTTAGCCCTTGCCAAGCCTTCCGAACTTCAAAACATTGTCAATCTAAGTCATTTTGAAAATACTAACTGTATAAATATTTTTTTTGACAATCTATATGAAATATCTGTTAAAATATGAGCTTCACAGACTACTCATTAAGAATCTCCTGAGGATAAGCAAAGCAATTAATGCTAACTGGTTTATTTACAGACAATTAATTATCGCATGCATGTTATTTGTTAAATCCCTGCAGCTGTCATAGAAGTAGGACATCAAGCTCAGTCCAGTGATTCCATCTTATGTTTACAATTAGTCATCATGAACAGATAGCACAAGCGTGGCTGACAAGATCAACACATTTTACAAGATGGAAGAGGCTACATGTTCTGTTCTGAATGAGTAAAAGCTACAGGAAAACCAGAGCAGGTTCAGAGGCGGACAGAAACAATTTGGAATTTTCAGTGATAAAACAGACCATCTAGGCACTAGCTGACTGGGCCCAGGGAGGTCACCCTGGTCATACAAGCCCAGAATCCAGCACGTATTATGGGTCACCCTCAATTTATTAACAATCGGATAACACATGATTTATGTAAAGAAGTAGATAAGAGGTAACTTGAAACAGAAAAACCAACACCCTGTAGCTCTCAGGGGTTAAATGATTCTTGACCTAAATGCCTTATTTTTTAAACTGATTACTGAAACTATGGCTCTACAGGACTACAGCTAACATACACTGGTCATCACTACTTTAAAATTGTACTATGTACCAAAAAGCCTCCCTTTAGAATACTCTGTACTATTTGATCATCACATGAAAAAAAAAAATATTGCTGCTGTGGAACAAGCTATCCTGTCATTTTGCTGAACCATCACTTCTTTCAAGAAATGCTTTTCGTGTAATTTTTAGGTCTAATGGCATCCTCTAAATTATAACCTATCTCCTTAAATACCTTTCCTGATAAAGCTCCCCTTTAATATATTTTAGTATATTTTAATATATTTTGACAAACTGATCTGCTATCTCCTAGCTCCACTGGTTAAGGCTGTCACCAGTAGGCTCCTTTTTCAAGCCCCACTGGGTTCTGCCAGTGACTCACTGTTTGTCACCCTGAGCGAGTTGCTCAACCTCCTTGTGCTCCATCTTTCAGATGACAAGTCAAATAAAGGTTTGTTAGTGATTCTGCTACCACAGATGTTCATGCCAGAGTTCACCCCCTAGTTTCTCTAGTTAATCTTGAAATAATGGGCTAAATGAAGAATTATTACCATAACAATTGTTTAACATTTGCCATACATTACAAATGCAGTCTGGATGGTAGTACAGAGTTTTTACAAGTCACTACAGAACAACAAGAAGGTTAAAAAACATTTAACATTTAAGTGGCCATTCCAAAATGGTTTGATTTTTTTTTTATTCCATACAGCATCTTTCCAAAAATTACATAATTTGCTTAGAGTCAATGTCTATCAGTATGTTAACATGCTTTATAACAGCCTGGCTTTAAGTGTTAAAATTCAGAGAGTGTATAAGGCAAGAGTCTGAAGACACCACCAGACTCCCCAGGCCAGGGCAGTTTGCAAGTCTTACGCTCCCAGGTCTGGCGACAGCAAAGGGAGCCACTAATAAACTACCTAAAAATGACTGGAACTTCCATGCCTGAATGCAAAGCATAGCAATAGCTCTCTTCAAATATTACTAAATTCCACAATCATTACCACAGAAGCAAGGTGAAAGCAAGTAGTTCTGTCACAAAGAATATTTTCATTTTCAGCTATCTTTTGTACACTTGTCTATAACTAGAACCAGATTTCAAAAAGCAAAAGCTTGTGCTGGTTTGGTTTCAAAATGAGTTAGAAAGCAGGAAGTTTTTGTTTAGGCAGATATACCCACCTTTCATAAATTATAAACCAGGAATACGGCAGGTTATTTTCATTAGAAGAGGTGGCCTAGGATATGGGCTAAAGTTCACATTTATGAAGGGACTACGTTTCTGATAAAGAGTATCATTCCTTGTGTATGTTATTCACCTCTGTGGATTTTTCTCACCTCCGAGATGGTGGAAGCAGGCACAGTCTCGGGCCCGATCTCAGTGTTGACATAGAGTAGTGCATACAGGTACCCTGACCGGCCATACAGCAGCTCGTCAGGCAGGTCTGAGTCAGAGATGACCACACTGCGCTGCAGCTGGAGCAGCCTGGAGAACAGGAGAGCAAAGAGCCACAGGAACAGTCAATGAAAAGCGCACTAGAGTGGGGACTGATCAGATTTATACTTCAAACACATGAAGTCAACTGTTGACAAAACAGCTGCAGAGATTGCTTGTAACTATAGGTAGAAAGCTTTATCGGTGCTCCAAAGGCTTCAGTGAACAATGCTAAAGTTTGTTACTACACTTTAGTAACAGCTTAATAAAGCTTACTAAAGTACCACAATAAGCTAAAACTGCTATCCTTTAGCTTTTTAGCTTATTCACTGTGACACACTTTATCAATCATTTGCAAACGAACCTGACTATCAAGCCCTTTTCCCTTGTGGTGAAAATAAAATACTACTAAGTGTGTAGTGCCTACTTAGTGATGCACTCCTTGGACTCTGCCTCGTTCTTCAGCTTGTGGTGCACCACTGCCCCCACAGCGAGTGGCCCAGCATCGCCACACAGGAAAGTCACCCTCCGGCCATTGAGATTGCGCAGGGTTCTTTTCAGATAGTCCAGTGCACGCTGCAGATGGGACTGCTCCTGGGTCACACGGTGCAGCTGCAGGTAGAGAAGAGCTATGCCTGTACAGGAGAGAGGTAGGATTCAAGAAGATATCTAACATAAGTCCAAGAGACTGGAGTACTGAGCAATGCTTTAAGCACTAAACCTGTAGTTCTCAAATTGTGATGGAAAAAGAAGTAAAATGAGTCAGACTGTTTTAAAGGTTTAACTCACCTGGATGAGGGACCGTCAACCTGATCATAAGTTCAACCTAGGCACAAGAACTCAGTAGCAAGTCAGTAGAGTCATTTGGCCAATCTGGCCCATAGTAAAAATATGCACGAATTGTGACCTACAATTAAAACTGGACAATATTGGGGTCCGACCTCCTCCTGAAATTTAAGCAGTTCAGTGCATGTTCTGAAGCAGTGCTGGAACGCCAAGCAAACTCGATTTAGACATATAGTAAAATGAATTAGACTGGTTTGCTGTCTTAACCTGAGTCAGGAAAATGTCAGTTTAAATGGGATAAGGCACATGTGGTATTTTTCCAGGAGACTTACCTCTCAGGCAGTGAATATGTGAAGGTCAAACGGATTTGTTTTGATAAAGTATTCCTTGCATAAGCTCAGAATGTAAAGAACAAAAAGAATCAGAATGATCATAAGATCAGATACGTAAATTACTGTCAAATTTGAATTTCTGTCAGAGATCTAAAACAAAAAAGGCATATTTTTCATAGGTAAAGGGAAGACAGAAGAACATAGTCACCTTGCTTAATATCTATGCACAAATGGGATATGTCAGGAATTTATTTTCAGAAGATATTTGAATGAACAGCCAAAGAAGTAGGTCCAATGCTAATATATGGAGAAGATTTGAATCCCAAATTGGACTCTTCTGAGGACCATTAATCAAAGGAGTGTATAAATCTATGGAAGACCTGTATGTACAGTATATTATATGCACCCTACAGGATGGGATTCTAAACATTTCATAACCATTTCTCTGCCTCTCATAATTCATCTGGCAGAACACATTACTTCCAATAAATATAATAAAAACAGCTTGAAATTGGAACTACTGATTTATCTGACAATGCATCAGTTAATTTAATATTACTTTTAAACCTGAAGAAATACAACACTTTATGGAGAATGAACTGTGGTGTTTTAAATAACATTATTCTCAAAAATCAAATGGAATTTAAAAAATTACTGTATTGTATATAGGAGAGCAGTTCCCAACAGTATTATGGGATACAGCTAAAGCAGTGCTTGGAGGAAAAGCAGTGCTTCCATTTGCTCCTATACCCCAAAAAAACAAACCAAAATTATTTAAACTACTCTACATAGAATAAGAGCATTTAAACATATTCATCAGATACATAGGACATTATTGAGGATTAGAACAGAAATAGTCAAAGTACAAAAAAGAGAAACTACTATGATTGAGGAAAAAATTCAATATACTAGCCAGACAATATATAGAACATACAATTATTTGATCCAATAACAAACCCAGTAAATAGAATAAAATGAATATTACAAAAGATTATATTCACAGACTGATATTCAAAATATACATGACATGGGCTCTTTATTAAACTCATTAAACCTACCTGCCCTAACCATGAAGCAAAACAATATTGACAATAAGCAAGAAGGACATTTCTTAGGACTATTTCAAACCTTAAACTCAGCAAAGCTACAGGAATGAATGGCTTTCCTAGTGAATTTTATAAGACATAAAGTGAACAGATAGTTCCATTATTTACATCCACCTGTATATTGAACTATTATGATATATGACTAAAGAGCTGGGCAACAATAGGGATTATGACATTGTACACGATGATGAAGAAAGGTCATCTGAGAAATTCTGAAGAATTATCACATCAGTACAAATTGGAAAAATAAGACTTCTTGAGATCTGGCATTATACAAATATTCTTAAATTAATGACTCATAGAATGAAATTGTATTTTTATTGCTCCTTAACAGTACAGTAATCGAAATTCCAAAGCTGTACAATAATGTTGAGGATATGAAAAGAAAATCAACAGAATATATTAAAATAGAAAAAATTTAGTCCAGCTTTACAAGCTTTCAAACATGGAGAATCTTTACTGGAAGAACTTATCCCATTTTTTATTTGTCCCAACATACTATACAAGTCAAATGAAAAGAAACCACTTCACAATGCTGGGATTGTATAGAGAGCAGGTAACAATTTATTCACATGTATTCTCTCCCTGCCCAGATGTAGCAAGCTTGCCAATTCATGAACTTAGCCCTAAATAAGATATAGCAAATCTAAACATAACATTTGAATGTTCTTTCTTCTAACTGCTAATAAGAAAGCAATCACAAGAAAATTACTTATTAAAGAGCCTCCAAACATATGAATAGTGAATTGACATTGTGAATGAGATTTATACTTTGGAAAAACTATAGCACTACAGTCAGACATTTTTAGTAAATACTGGCTAACCTGAACTAACTTTTTTTCCTTTTGAATCCTAATTTTACATTTGAATGGAAATGACATAATATTCCTGTGCAAACTATTTGTTTTTTTGATAAGCAGATTTCTACCAAGTGATGTTACACCAGTATTTACCTCACTCATCTATACCTCCACAATGGAAGTACTGTAGGTCTATGGAATTGCAATGTCAACTAAACACAAGATATACAAATTTGTGAATCGGTTTTGAACGTAAACTATTTCATCAACAAAAAATATAGAAAATAAAGGAAAGGAGAAGCTGTTTTGGGAACAAATTAGATTTCGACAGTGAAACACAGGCTCATTGGATGGATTGGAGTAGAGGAATGAAAAGCATGGCTGGATATGAGGAACGAACCATCACACTGCACCTAATAAACAGGCAGGTGGGCTAGGATCCTGACACCTGCTGCATCAGTTCCAATAAGAACCACTTCATTTTTCAAGAGCAAAAGATGTTAGCTAATCAACCTTTTCATTATTTTTAGCCTGAGGAAAGAACTGCAAATATACAGCATGTGATGCTTCAAAATGCATTTCCATTCTCAGCTATCAAGACAAATGGTGCATTTAGGGCAAAGAGATTCAAGGACAAGAACAGTAGAGTAAGCTTTTTTCCTCCATTTTCAGCATAAGAAGTGGAGGGCATTGCTGCAGCTTTATTTACCCCCTGATAGCCAGAACCACATTAATTTTTATAACATAGGACAAAGACAAAAATGTATGACAAGTAGCACTTCTAATTCACAAAACAGGGTTTTCCAAAACCCAAAAATTATTCAGTATTTTTTATCCATTCATTTTCTAAACACTATATCAAGTACAGTGTCACAGGGGAAACAGAGTCTATCCTAGAACCAACAGGTGTAAGGCAGGATACACCTTTGATGGGACACCAATGCAGAACACATATATATATATAACGATATGCACACGCTCAGGAAACCCTTGCAAGGAGGAAACCCTTGCAAACAAGTGGAGAACATACAAACTCCACACAGACAGCAACTCACAAATTGAACCAAGCACTGCAAAGCAATGCTAACCACTGTGCCATCATGCTGCCTTCAGTATTTTCAATAATATGGAAAATTGAAATGATTTTGTTAAGATCATTTGAGGTCTTCAACCCCGGACAAAATTAAGTTCGTAACTACATTTCAATTGCTTTCAGCTCAGAAACAGTCAGGGATTCAATTAAGCTTAATTAAACGCTTTTAATCATTTACTGATTAGCAGAGCAAGTCCGGTTTGAGTTTAAGAAAAGGTCATTTAAAGCCCAGTTTGAACAAATCCCAGTAATCAGACCAAACCCTACTGGGTTGTAACAGTGAAGGAGACAGATATGGAATCCATGCTAGAGTGCAGATGACACTGGCAACACAGTGCACACACAGTATGTACAGTACCTTGGACTATGACTGGCTAGTAAGAAGCTTGACCCATGATAACTGCTGCTGCATATCAATATGCCATACATCCAAAGATGCAGGGGCAACAAAAGTATACAGACTAAGAAAATCTACAACTTTCTTTCTATTATTAAAACAAGGCAATGTTTTCATAATCATAGAACTTATGTACTGGAGGGTGTGTGCTGTGCTGACCACTTTCTGAGCACCAGATACAAATCAGGCTGTGGTTTCCAGCCTACCTACTTCAAGCTTGAGATTTTTCCAGCTCAACACACATCCTGCAGTCCTTTCATGTACCTGCTCACCTGTCCAGCCAGTATAAGTGGAGAAGTCATGCGGGTCAGCTGTCTTTAGGCCCTCCTCCATCTGCTGCAGGAGGTCTGTAATCTTGCTCTGGACTTTCTTCTGAAAGCTGGCACTGACCTGTGCAGAGAAAGCTTTGTCAACAGCTATAAGATAAGTCCTGTGAAGTATACCAATGTACAGGTTCAGGCAAAACAACAGTTATTGAAATAAATGTAGAGATTATCTTCAGGAAAATCAAGCTGCTATAGCAAAGGGTGAAACTCAAGCTGTATACTTTGATTTGTGCAATGGGAATGCACAAATCATTTACTGCTGCCTGGGTAATCGCAGTCAACTCACGACAGCCTAAACTCCAACTCACGACACAGCATAAACTCCAATCAGCAATGTCTGCACTCCAGATGAGCATCTGTACCAGCTGAACATGGGAACCCCTTCACAGGCATTATTCCTTCATTAATATCTTCATGGATACCAACAAATGAATTATCTAATTTCACAGCCTTTAAAAAAAAGACCAAGTGACAAAACCAGTAATACGTTTTCCCGAGACAAAAAGTTCCCTTTATTAATCATCAACATCTTAATTTTTCTACTTTGCCGTTAAGCCATTGTTCTTTTTCTCCTGTTTTTTTTTTTTTACAAATAGAAGGATGGATTTGTCTTCTTTCCACAGCAAGCAGCTTTTAAAATAAATGGGTTCAACGCTGACTGGCTGCTGTAACATGAAAAGGCCAATTAAGGAGACAGGGGATGATCCTGTTTACTTTTACAAGAAAGGGAGACAGCAGCTCTCCAGATCAATCAGATTGTCCTTTGTCTGCTCCATAAAAAACCCAATTGTCTTGTGAGGCTGCACACGTCACATGCAGAGCAAATGAGACGCATGGTGTGGCGAAGGCTGAGCCATGTTGTTAAGTTTGAAGGGCACAATGAAAAGAACTGCAGTAAACAGCAACAAAGCCTTTCGGCACATCAACCAGGTGACGCACACGGATGAAATGCGCTTTATAAATCTTCTGTTTTAAAATAAAGGCACCCATTCTATACGAAAGCAAATCATTTTTATTCAAAAAAACATTGTGTCTTTTTTTCTTCAGCTTGATTCTCACTGGAGCACTTCAGAGACAGCACTCATAGTAAATGATGAATGAGACATCTCTAACACTCCCTGCCCACAAGAGAAAAGGCAAATAAGTTTGGGTGCAGAAAAAGATTAGAATTGATTGCTTCTCAAATACCAGCAGAGAGAGTCATCGGGATATAAACATAATGTCTCCTATATACAGTATGTGCTCTGAACTGCTGGAAAATAGCGTACAGTACGTCTCTTTTACAGAAGGATGAGATACAAATATGGAGCACACCACAATGTAACAGATGACAGATGCCATTATACTAACCAGCCCTTCCATTATGACTTTTAGACATATGCAAGCAGCCGGTGGCTAGTTTGGTCCCAAAGGAATGCAGTCCAGCAGGGTTTGTGAAATACCATCTCCTGAACACTGCTTAATCTCAGAGATAAAATAACTGGTGCTATTAGAATTTTTTTCCCAGTTGCACTCTGGGACTTAAAGGAATGTGACAGGTCCAAAGAACTTAATCTTTTCATTACTGAACATAGATGGCTGAGAAGTGATCATAATCTGCAAAGGTACTGATAAAGTCAAGGCACAGACCTCTTCAGAATAAACAATGAAACACAAACCTAAGGACAAATATGGAAACTATGTGGAAGTGCATTTAAAACTGAAAACAGGAGGAACTTCCTTACGCTAAGTGTTGTGGTAGTATGGAACAAGTTAATCACCCAATTTGTTAAAGCAAATACCTCTAACTTTTTTCAACTGAACCTTTGATCAATTAACTATTCATGGCTATTAACTTTGATCAATTAACTATTCAGTATATTACAAAAATATATTACAACTGGCAACCCACTGAAGCTAAGCAGGTGTGAGCAAAGGGAAAGCTAATGTTGTGGGTCATAATGCTCCAGTATACTGACCAGGACACCATACTGTAAAAAGCTGTCATCCCTTAGATGAGACAAAACCAAGATCCTGACTCTCTGTGGTCATTAAAAATCCCAGGGCGTTTCTCAAAAAAGAACTGTTATCCACAGTGTCCTGGCCAAACTAATTAATTTATTAATAATGGCCTCCTAATAATTCCCAAATATGAATTGGCTTCATTACTCTGTACTTCTCCCCACTGATAGCTGATGTGTGCTGAGTGTTCTGGAGTCCAATCATGCAAGTGGGGGCTACATGCAGTTCGTAGTGGAGGGGAGTCCACATTTCCTGTAAAGAGCTTTGAGTGGAGTGCTCAGAAAAGAGCTTTATATGTGTAAGGAATTGTTGTTGTTGTTGTTGTTATTATTATGATGTTGAACACATTTACCAAACACCACCTGAATGATAATTGGAACCATTTCTAATTGTCAGATGAAACATAATTTGAGCATTTTAGACACTTTCAACAATTTTATAAATTGAAGGTCATGTTCAGATAACACTTATGCCGAAAAGAAAATATGTTGGGAATATTGTGTTAGTAGACCTTGTTAAGAGGGGGGAATCAATGTTACTGGAACTACAGTATAAATGTCCTGTAGACTCATATAAAGTATTGAAGCCAAGGATAACTGAAATCTATATTATTTAGCATTTACATACTGTATGTAAGTATGGTAGTAGCACCAAATGATACCAGTCGTTTTTCTATATAATGCCCTGACAAAACCAAATATACAGTAAAACGGTACCAGAAAAACACACAGCCTGTCTTATGAAACAAGGATATTCTAAATGTAATTAGAACCAGCAATGTTGGCCTAGGCAATCATTATCAGTATTTTCACACGACTCTCTACATTCAGCATGATGATTTTATGGCGCATATGAGATACCATACTAACTATTTTGCTTCCTTTCAAACAGAATATTAACTTTCGTACAATACAAAAGGTTTATGTATAGGTTTTTACAATCCCTACATATTTGACCATGAACACACAAACTGCTTGAGTGCTACCATAAATTGTTTACGATAGATTGCTGTTGAAATATAATCAAACTTCCTTAATCATCAAACAGTACCTGAATGTTTCTTTCTAGAGAATATAATCAAATAGATTAAATTAGGCAAAGGAAACATTATGAGGAAAAACAAATTTGAGCTTAATTCAATACGAGAAATGACCTGGTTGATAATTCATAGGAAAAACAATGAACATTAAAGACCTCCATTCATACAAGGCACAACTGAATTGTCCAAGAGTTCCTTCCTTTTTGTAAAGGACAAAACAAATGATGGAGAAACTTTTATAGGTGAGCTGTTATTAAACCCTATCAAACAGGCCCTTCAGTGTTTGAAAGGGAATGGGAAAGAATGGGTCTAGGCAAATGAAAATTCTATAAATCAAAGTTCAGTTTCTCAGACAAAAACAAGAAAAATAACCACTGTATCATAAATATAAGTAAAGTTCAGTTACCATATAGCTCTGACAAGACAATACCTTTAAAGTTATCATTTTCTGAGACCTGCAGACAGTACAACTATAGGCTTACTAAAGCCCCCATTTGTTGTCTAACGTATACCGCAGTAAATAATCCTGTCCTTTTACAAGTGATCTTCCACATAGTCAAGCAGACTATGGCTTCTGTCAAAGACAGGTACAGAAGACCTTTCATTCCAACCAAATACACATAGCAGTGAACACCACAGAAAGAACAGCAACTTCAACCCTGGGATTTATATTGAATCATGCTGCAGCAGTCACATTTCCAGAGTAAGAAATCACTGAAGGCCTAAAGATTCTGTGTGACATCTGGATGCCCCAGCCACTTTAAGCTCTTTTCCCCTAGGCAAAAGCAATGATTTGTATTGAATCACAGGGCATTAATCAAACAGTCTCTTCCACAGCAAACAGTACCGCAATGTAAGCATTTTTATAATCATTCTATCTCCCCTGAAACATCACCACCTGCAAAATGAAGTATTTGGGAGCCATAAAAAATACAAAATGACTATTTAAAGACATAAGCAATTTGAAATTACTTGGAAAGGACACAAGCATTTTTCTCTCAGACTGCATCTGATGCCAGAGAAGAACGAGATTGGATAAATGTAGACATGCCCTTCTGTTGTATGAAAATTACACAGAGGGAAGAAACGCTACACAGGGCAGAGGATGCAGTTTTTCTTTTATATCTGATACACTGATGTACTAGTTCCAAAGCTTTTTAGCTTCAGGATAACACCGTTAGAATCAAATGTAACTACCGTCAGTGGTCTGAGACCATACAAGATAGACAGCTGAGCTGTTCTGTCTCTCTACATCAGTTGACTATCAGTGCATTAGAGAAAAAGAGCAAACATTTGCAAAAATGCTCCCAGATGTATCTGATGTCAGTTTGCACTTTGTAGGTACAGAAATATGCATAGACCAAAATGCGATCTCACTAGGACACCAAGCTCGAGAGACCTTCATCATACAGTCTGTAGCACTCTCCCAGACTGGAAAACATTTGTTCTACGCATCAGACAAATGCACTTCTAAATTTCAAAGAGAATGGAGTGTGCACCAAATGATACAATACTGTATGAGATAATAAGAAAAAAACTTCTGTTATGTTTAAGTCAGATTTCATTCTTTTGCTGAATAACAAATCTGTCCAAATGTTTGTACTTTTATAAAAATGTAGGACAAATGCAGTGGGGCTCAAGTATTACAAAAAGATACAATTTCAAGAAA